AGACTGCCATGCCTAAAGATAATCAAATTACAACCTCTAAACTAGCCGTGGCCTGGAAAAAGAAATCTTAACAGAGGGTGGGTTTGTGTTGTCAGTCTCTAGTTTAGGATTGCTGTCATTGCTGATCACTCTTGGGATGCACCTTGTGTTTTTTATGACAGGTTATCGGGGCCCACTCAGTGGGTGGGGTTTCTGTGGTCCAGAACTGGGTAGTGATGACGTACATTGATTCTCATTCTCTTTGTGAATTCAAGTGCCTCTGTGAGACAGTGTATTTTCTGCCACACCGGCCTCATCCTCAATTGCAAAGAAGGCAGATTGTGTCTTTAGTGCCTAATTCCCACCCCCTTCCCTCTGCCCACACTTGTTCTCTCACTGTTCTAAATGTCTCCTCTTGCCCGGTTCGAATACTGTTGCCCTGACACAGTATTTGTAAGTGATTGACTCCTGTAAGTGATTAAATGCCCTCATTCACATTAAAATGATAAAAGCTTAAAGTTGTATTTGTTCCAGAGTTGTTTCTTTGGTTCATGGAAAGGTTAAGCTTTAATCCAAATGAATCCTTTCTAAGAGTGGATTTTCATATATTTTAGTACTAGGGCAGTGAATACATTTTGAGAAATTTGTGGAAGTCATGTGATGGATTCTGTTGATTGCCTTACTCAACTTCCACTGCACCATCCTTTATGGAGAGATTCAAAAGCAGAAAAAAAAAAAAATTACATTTCAATACTACTTTGCAACTGAGTCTATGGATGTGAAGTAGATTCTTTCAATTAAATATACTTGTGCCAGCACATGGAAAATGGAAGGGAGAAGGAGGCCACTTGCTTGCCTTCTTTGTCTGCTTCTGCATTCAAGCAAAGTTGGGGAAAGATGAGTGGCTTTTGCATTAGCATTTCAGTTTCTCATCTCCAATATCATGCCTACCAAGGTATGGCAGCAGTGACTTCTTGATCATGCTTTCTGATTCTTAGATTCCAGGTACAGGTATGTATATATGCTTTATTTATATCTCCAATGGCAACTTCAGAGGTGTCTTAGTTTCATATTGCTCTCAGAGTCATTTACTGAGGCCCAGCATAGAACCTGCTCCTTTTACTCTTCATCAATTTTGCAAACTCTGAACTCCCTGTATTAAATTCCTTCCTGTTCAAAATACCTACAGTGGTTTCTACTTTGTGTTGGCAGTTGACTGATGTTGTTGTTGTTAAGTGCTGTCGAGTTGATCCTGACCCATAGAGACCCTGTATAAGGTTTCTGAGGAGCAGTGGTGAGCTTGAACCGCTGACCTTGCATTTC